GCGTGTTTAAATTTGTCTCACCAACTTATTTTGGAAACAAAATAAGGTAATGTTGAAGAACCTTAAAGAGAGCCTTTATTTTTGCATTGTCCAGCAATCTGACGGTGGCTCACAGGGTTATGTCTAGAAGTCCTTGCCCCGAATGCGAGGCACCAGACAGGCATTTGGGATGGGGCACTGCTGCTGGTGACAGGCCCAAGTGCTTCCTGAACTGGAAATTGCCCATTTATTTAATAGACTTCAGCTGGATTTTTCCTCCATGGATTTGTCTGGTTCTTTTGTGAACCTGTGTGAAGGTWACTGCCAGCAGTGTTGTGTTGCTTGAGAAAGCAGCTCCTGAAGCAGCACCTTGGTGATTTTATTTCATGCACTTCAGTTTTCCCATAGAAATAGTGATTAATTGCACCCAGTCAATGTTCTCCATTCCAGGAATCATAAAAGCACCTCTTACCTTCATTGCATTTGTCTTTTTTTCTGGGTCCAGTGCAGTTTCCCTGTATTTGATCATCCTTGCTGCCCATTTTCCATGTCTGTATTCCTGAACACAAGTGAGCCAACCCTCTGCTCTGGATTGGTTTTGTTATACATAGGCATGATGTTTGAAGTCYAACACTTGAAAAGACTGTTGGAAAGGTCAAGCCTGTATTCTAGTAGATCAGGTATTTTTAAGCACTTAGTGAGCGAAGGGTCTATGTAGCTCCTGGCTAAACTGTGACTACAGTTGATGTTTTAAACTGTATTTAGGGTTTTTAAGTTCAGKGGTTTTTAAGATTTTTTAAAATGAGCTTAATGAATGGCTGCACTGAGTGCTTTGGGTTACATTGCTGAAAATTCTTTCCAGGGAATTGGCCAATGTTTAAAACTGCACAAGATCTTAGAAATATGCCATGGAGAGTAATGATGTGCTGGCCAGGGTAGAAATYTGGCCAAACAGCCTGGTTTCTAGTTTTGGTTTTAGTTAGTTAGGCCCTAAGTCAAAAAAGGAGAACAATTGATTTACAATCTATTGCCTTGTTTTCCAAATAGACTAGACTTATTTCCAGGTTTAGAAGATGTTTCTGGTTCTTTTTATAAAACCATAATGAACTCAAGTGATGTCTTGACCAGCCACTGATTGCATTACTAATGGTACTTTCAGAAAATAGCATTAAAAATGTCTCTGGAACAAAAGTGATCCTTTGAGGGACTTGGAGTACATTCTGAAATGTGTTCACCTCTTTCACTCCAGGCTCAGTTTCATCCACTGCTGGTTAGTATTTTGGCCACTGACAAAATAAGAAAGAGAAAAGTTGGTGGAACTTAGGTGTGTAGGTGCAGACTGATTGTATAATTTTTCAGTTTGCACTGAAATTTAATTTTACTGTTTAATTTTACTATTTAATTTTACTGTTTTTCAGTGTACRGAGCCCCAAAAGCTATTCAACATTGCCAATGAGCTGCTCCATACGGAAGAAGCATATGTTAAAAGACTCCATCTCTTGGACCAGGTAATTCCATTTTGAATTAACTCTTTTCAGTAAGCAGCAATGATGTCTCCTATTCATTACCTAAGCTATAGCTCAATACACTTCAGATGCTGCGTGTAGGTGGAAGATGGAGTTTATTTGCCAGGCTGTGTGCCATGAGTCTCAGAGGCAGGCTTTGGGCAAGAGGGTTCTCTGAGAAGGAACCAGAGGATTAGGATGGCAGAAAGGGAAGTGGCAAAGCAGCAGCCCAGGATGCAGACAGCTGCTGGCATTTGGTTCCTCCCTGGGTGTATGGGGAGAGGAAATCACAGGGACAATGAACGCACTGAGAAATGATGAAATCCGTGATTGCTCTTTGATGTGCAAGAACTTGAAGTTTTACTAAAATTAGGCCACAAGTGTCAGCTCCATGCTTACAGCGAACTATTTTATTACCACTGTGTTTTGTAGTTGCTGTCCATCATATTTATGTGTGGGGATGAAGTAAAACTGGTGTGATGAGTCTGAATTTTCTTTCCCATAGTCTCTGAGCTGACTCTACACAATTCAGGCATTTCTATAATTATCTCAAAGAAAAAAACCCTATGAATGTGCAGGAAAGAAATAAAAATGAGGATGAGACATTGCTAGCAAAGTACTTTTAAAACTCAGTAGAAGAAAAAAAGTAGAAAACATCACCWGTCCAGAAACRTTGTTAGAAGCTGTAACTTGGAGAWCCCTTCACCCGCCTACTCTTGGAGCTCTATGGAAGACTTGCAGTATTAGATGGACAGAGACTGTTTTCTTGACCACAGAAATCTAGAGACTGTATTTCCCTTTTGTTCAGTACAGTGTAATTTTCCCTAYTGAGCAAAACCCAATCCCATGTTTTATTTTGCTTCATGCAAATAGCAGTAAATGCTTTTCAGGAACTGGATGTGTTTTGCAGTTTGCTCTCCCAAATATGAGATATCTGATCTTCTCAGGCACTCCAATATTTTTTTAATTACAGCTCAGATTTTCCTAGTTTTTTCTATGGTGTATAGTGGTATATCTACCTGGGTGACAGTGGGCTTAAGTTTTGTGAACCTCCTGAAGACTCCAAGGACTGGCTACCAGGGGTCAAAATCTGTAGCACTGTTGTAAGCAAAATTGCAATCTAAAATCAGCATGTCTATGATTGTTTTTCGTAAAGAAATGTTGGTACTGTCTTGTTGCCTTCTGCAGGTTTTTTGCACTAAATTGTCTGAAGCAGGGATTTCATCTGAAGTGATAACAGGCATCTTCTCAAATATTTCTTCCATCTATTGTTTCCATGGACAATTTCTTCTTCCTGAGCTCAAAACAAGAATTACACAAGAATGGTAGGTAGCTGTCATTACATTTATTTTTAAAACACATTTTTAAGAATCTATAGCAAACATAAGGCCTAGTCTAATTCCAAATTTTTTATTGTTTAATGCAGTAATTAATACATTAGTCATTTAATACGTTAATATGAAGTCTCTCAAACATTTCTGATTTCAGGAGTAGGCCTGAGCACTCAAAATTTCCAGAATACATTGTGAGCATTTTTTCAATTCAAAGTGTTGCCAGAGCCRTTTTCCTTACTGCATTTCCACTCTATTATTGCAGTACTATGAAGGAATGAAATTGCTTGTTTTGGTCCCAGAGCTGAAATAAATATTTTCAAATACCAGTTAAAATTCGGCTACTATAATAATTTGAAGGTGGGACTTGTTGATTTTGGAGGTCTTTTCTAACCTTAATGGTTCTGTAAGTTGTATATAAGGCATAAATGCAGTGATAAGTAGAAAGTTTAATTGTAAGTCAGATCTAAGAAACCTGATTTCAGGGGACACATTGGCTGCACAGTGTCCTGCRGTGACAGGTGCAGATAGTGCTGACCTTTCTAGGTATGCTGACTGACCAAGACAAGACCAGGGCTTGTCTCTCTCTTGGCTGAGTCCAGTCTTCAAACAATTCATCAGTGACCAGAAGTAATAAATGTGTCTCAGCACCTCTGTGCCTGACTTGCATTTGCAGGGTAATAAAGGGAAGGAAAACTGGAGAGTCTGTAAGTCCAAAGAGGATAGAATCTTGTTAACTGGCTAAAGAGGGTCTTGCACAGGAAGACTGGGCTGAATGAAGAAGAATGGCTGGCTGCTCCAGCTGCTCCAGCAGCTGCTCCAGCTTGGGGTTGCTGGCTCCTAGGGATTACCCAGCTAAACTGAACCATCTCTTTGAATTAAAACACTTCAGATGTTTGGCTGTGGTGGAAAAAATTATTTTTAATAAGTAAAAGTTTTCCGCAAGATTTTGTGCTGGGCCCAAGAGATATACAGATGTTCCTTTAATGATGTGTAGTCATTCTGCTTTTCACTTAAGACAGTGSGGGCAGAAATATCATCCTCTGTACAACGGGATTAATGTTTAAAGTTTCAACTAGGGTATTGTATATATATTACCTTAATCTAAACTTAGCCTGTCTTGATTGCATACATATGTAAGTGGTTGTGTGTGGTGGAGACAGTTGTGGAAATTTTACAGCTGTTTTCTCTCTAGAGATACCATTGATTTCCAGAAATTTCAGTACTTTCCTGTCTTTTTACCATAGGAGTGTCAACCCACGGCTAGGAGATATCTTGCAGAAACTTGCTCCTTTTCTGAAAATGTATGGAGAATATGTAAAGAACTTTGACAGGGCAATGGACATAGTGAACACATGCATGCAGCGGTCCTCTCCCTTCAAAGATGTTGTTCAGAACATACAGGTATGTTGTTAATTGGCATAATAGGATTCAGATATTGTTGTGGTTTAGGAATGACACTCCCCAATTTAGAGACTCCAAAACCATACTGCCACTCCCTTGCTTTCCCCCTCTGCCCTTTTTCCCTCCCCCTGCAGCGCTGAAGAGGAGAGCTGGAGGTGAAAAAGGCAAAAATCATGGATCTAGATACGAACAATTTACTGGAAACACCAATGAGATAAGAAAAGGAATARTAAGAGCAACAATATTAATAACAAAAGTGTACTAAWCAGAGAGTACAGAGCTCAGTCTGACTGAAGCCATGTCACCCAAACCACTCCCTCCTGTCAGGATCAGCCTCACCCAAACTGCTCCATATGCCACACTTGCTCCGCCATAAGAAACCATCTCTTCTGACGTGAAACCCCCTCTTTCCAGCATAGCAATGACCCCCGGTGTTATCCAATAGCACTGGGATCCTGGCCACACCCCCTCCTGCCTACTGCMAAATATTAACTCTGTCCTGGCCAGAAGCAGGACTGAGATATCCTCACTTATTTCAGAGTGTTTATTTGTTTCCCAGTTCATGACACACAGTGTAAAGGTAATATGGCATTAATATTGAAAATACACTATTTTAGTGGCATTCCTTTTGTTTTCTTTTACTGGTACTCAGTTTTTTTCCACTCAAGATTTTTTTTTGGTTTTGTGGTGTTTTGGTTTTTTTTGCTTTTTGTTTTTGTTTTGTTTGTTTGGGTTTTTTTTGTTTGTTTGCTTTGGTTAGGTGGGGTTTTTTTACTCAGCATTGGGGGGTTTTTTGTGGGTTTTTGTTTTGGTTTTTTGTGGCTTTAAATTGACAGAGGGCAGGGTTGGATGGAATATTTGAAAGAAATTGTTCCCTGGGAGGGTGGTGAGGTCCTGGCACAGAGTGCCTGAAGAAGCCGTGGTTGCCCCATCCCTGGAAGTGTCCAAGGCCAGGGTGAATGGGGCTTGAAGCAACGTGGCATAGTGAATGGGGGTTGGACTGGATGGTCTTCAAGGTCCCTTCCAACCCAAACCATTCAATGATTCTGTTATTTAAGAGGAGTATCAGAAGTCACAGAGTGAAATTTCACCATTGGCCCAGTTATTCTGACTCTTTTGGATTTATTATTCATATTTCTAWTTTTTTTTTTAAYAAATACATTTTCATTCTGAGGTGGATGTGCTTGAGTTTAAACATGTCACTGWCTTCATCTGCTGTTTTTCTGGTTTTCCTAAGGCTTCTGAAGTGGTGCATAGCTCTTGGGATCACAGCTCCACATGTATTTTCATGTGTTCTCTCCTAATTGCACAAAAAAAGCTGAGCGGGAGAGGGCAAGAGCTCCATTTATGCTGATTTATCTAAAAAACTGCTCCATTCCACTCAGCCCCTGGTCAGCYGAAGGGATGCAGGCTCCAGCATGCTCATGAGCATCCCTGGGATGCTCATCCCTGGAACGCAGATACCATCCTTTGGAAGGGGAGGGCTGGCAAGGAGTGAGTTAARCTGAGMWGGGAGCACAGCTGCCTGCCCTAAATGGGAGCATTGTGGCTGGACCAGCTGTCAGGAATCAAGTAATCCCCTAACAAGCTGGGAGAGGAGAGGCCCTGTATGGAGGTTTAGGATTGTGTCAGAGACTCAGACAGTAGTCTGGAGAAGAAGCAAGAGCTGGGGGAGGTCCTTTTGTGCCACACTRCTGTTCCACATGGCCTTTTCTTACCCTTTTTATTTGCCTGCACCCATCCTACTGCCACTGAGGCCATGTGCAGCAGCACTGTGTTTTGCTGTTCTCAGCCTGTGCCACGGCTTTCTGGATAAATCCATTTGGGGCTGTTTTCCCTACAGCACAGGCARCATCCTTCCATAAAATTCATCTGTCTCTTCCCACCACCAAGCTTCCAGCATGAATGATGTGTGTCACCTGTCGGTCTGCGCCTGTCCCAGACCATGAGCAGCGCTGCTGTTGCTTGAGCAGAACTCTTGCCAGGCAGCATGGGTGCTGGCAATGCAGGCAGGAGGTGCACCTCAGAAGCCTGCTGATGACAGAATTGCACTGTAGGTTTTTTAGTGGCACCTAGACAGCACCTCTGCCTCCTTTGCTCCAGGATCATAGCTGCAGGAGGCAGAGATTTGACCCACACTGCTTAGTCCACTCAGCTGACATATCTCTGCACTATCAAAAGCCACAGGTAGTTTTCAACATACCAGTTGAAGTGTGTTGTGATCCTGCAGGGATGCACTGTCTACCAAAGCTGCTAGTGAAATAGTATATATAGAAATATACAGCTTAAGGCATTCACTGTCACTAATTATGTCAAATTAAGGAAAGCAGAAAATCAAAATCTGATGTTACTAATGAGTTGATGACTGTGTCTTATCAAGTTTACTTTAGCTGATCTTGAAGATAAAAACACTTTCTGCTCAGTTCACATCTACTCACTGGGGCCAAAACTTGATAGCTGGTGAGTTTATTATAACTTGGATTGTCAACTTTCTCTTTATGCCATCACAGAAGTATTTTTAAATATATCTACATATAATAAATAATAATATATTATTTTAATATATGTTTATATTTTTATGTATTATATCTATTAATGTGGTTTGGATTTTCACATGAATTAAATATAGAATAAACCTTTATCTAGTAAAGAATCCCAGTGTAAACTCTGTAAACTTTAAACCTCACATAGCATGAAACTTTTCCTATTTGGAACAGTTTGTTTTGTCACTRTTGCCTTTTCAGAAAGGTATACTTGCATGTGAATACAACTGATGTGGGCTTTGAAGTGACTTCTTCCTCTGCTTCCCTATTGCTGTCCTGTGTTCAGGTTCTTTCTATTGCAGAAATAAAGAGACCGTTGAGAAGGTTATAGTAAGTGGATTTGGGATATAATCCAAGTGCTAGTTATGTGAAGTTCTGTGCCCTGGAATCTCAGATTCTGTCCTTCACAGCTGTTATTTTCTGGTGGTGTAAAACTCTGARGGATAATAAACTCACTTCAGCTCCCCTAAACAGAAATACTACTCTCCCTCTTACACTGTGACAAGATACTTTTGAAAGCAAATTTAGTCCTTTGAATTTCTGGAAGAACAATTAATATTTTTCTCTCAGACATTCATCCCATTATCTCCATCCTTCTGTGAGAATGAAGCGAGTCAGCAGCGTGGTGTGGGCTGGAATGTTTGGGCTGGAAATTGCAGATACTTGAAACAAGTTCTTTTCTGTGAGAAATTCACAGTGAAATTAATGTGATTGTAGACAGGCTGATTACACTAGAACAGACCACTGATGTAAAAATAATTCTGTGTATAAGAGCATGTGTGTATTTGGTTAGCATGCTGCTGTGGAGTCAGATTACTTTGCTAGCAGCAACTTCCTGTGTGCTTTAAAGCAAGTTACTGCTTCTTATTGAGATTTTCATCTCTTCTCTTTTAAATAAAAATATTCTTTTGCTTCACAGGATCCTACGAAAACAGATACACTGCAATCCTCAGTGCCATTGCACGCAGAGCACATCAGTGTCTTATCGGGTGATATTTAGTGTAATCGGACTCAAACCTCCTTCCCCTCTTGGCTAAGTGAAAAAKAAGTAGAATTTGAGAGAGCTTCTCCTTTCAAAGGTGGTGCGTGAGCAGTGTGTCTGCTGCTCATACAGTGACCTCTCTCAAGTAATACATCCCTGGAGGCATTCTGATTTTGTGTAGTTGGGAGAACAATGCTGCACAGGGCCATGACTGGGAAGAGCTTTTCTAAGCCTTCTGAAAGAAAATTGCTGCATATCAGCAGAAAATGTCAGACGTGGGATGTAGATTCACATAAAACCTGTCAGCTCTGATATCTGCTGTAGGGCAGGAAGGCTCCAGAGCTGTGTCTGGAGAGGCTGGACCCGAGGTCAGTGGTCTGAGGGTCAAAAAGGCCARGTGCCAGGTCCTGTCCTTGGGTCACAGCAACTCCCTGCAGCYCCAGGCTGAGCCAGAGGGGCTGGAAAGGCCCTGCGGGTGCTGGTGGCAGCAGCTGAACAGGAGCCCRGGTGTGCCCAGGTGGGCAGGAAGGAGCAGGGCACCCAGGCCTGTCCCAGCTGTGCTGTGGCAGCAGGAGCAGGGCAGTGCCCGTTCCCTGTGCTGGCCACTGCTGAGGCCCCACCTCAGATCCTGGGGTCAGTTTTGAGCCCCTCACAACAAAAAAACACCTTGAGGGGTGTTGGAATACAGCTAGAAAGCAGCAGTGAGAGCACTGCTCAACCCATGTCAGGAGTGGACATGGTAACACTGCTGGGCCGCAATCCATGGCAAACAGTGAGGCCTAGCACAGAACAGCCAGCATAAGAGAACAGCATGTTTGGGCGTGTTTGGGCACGTGCTTGTACTAGTCAGTGCTAGCCCTAAGTTTTGCAATGTTAAGAAAAGTAGATATAGTCGATACAGKGATTGTTGCTTATATAGCAATATAGGGTTTGTTTTTAGTTACTGCTGAAAAGGTGTAAACACTCTGCTCTGTATCAATAAAATTGGCTTATTGCACACAAGCAATCGGCCCGTCTCTTCAAATCGCCGACCGTCACCCCACAGAGTGGCTGGAGCATTTCCAGAGAAGGGGAATGGAGCTGGGGAAAGGTTTGGAGCACCAGGAGCAGCTGAGGGAGCTGGGAAAGGGGCTCAGCCTGGAGCAAAGGAGGCWCYGGGGGGACCTTGTGGCTCTGCACAAYTCCCTGACAGGAGGKGRCAGCCAGGGGTGTCAGGCTCTGCTCCCAGGGAGCAGGGACAGGAGAGGAAATGGCTTCAGCCTGTGCCTGGGTAAGGTTTAGATTGGATATTAGGGAAAATTTCTTCATGAAAAGGGTTGTCCAGCCCTGGCACAGGCTGCCCAGGGCAGTGATAGAATCACCATTYCTGGAGGGATTTTAAGGACATGCAGATGTGGCATTTGTGGACTTGGTTTGTGGTGGCCATGGCAGTGTTAGGTTTATGTTTGGACTTGATCATCTCAAGGGTCTTTTCCAACCTAATGAGTGTGTCGATCCATGATGGCTTGATAAGTTCCTATACACTCCTCTAGCTGCATGTGAATAATCATTTTTCTTTGCTGTTAACCACCAAAGGTAGAAACTAAACCAAATTTTCCTGTGCTTGTTTTCTCTCCATTACAGAAACAGGAGGTGTGTGGAAATCTAACTTTGCAGCATCACATGCTTGAACCAGTGCAAAGGATTCCTCGTTATGAGCTTCTCCTGAAGGACTATTTAAAGAAACTTCCAGAAGACTCTCCAGACAGGAAGGATGCTGAAAGTAMATGTAAACTCCTCTCTGTCTAAAAGCACAGTGAAATCTTTGGCAGTTTTTTCTTGTCATGTTCAGATACTTGCAAGCAGGATTATGGTAGAAATGGAGACTTGAATTAATCAAATTATTGCCAAACAAATGGATTTTGAATACTTTTGGATTTGAGAAGAATCAGGTTAGGATGCCAGCTCTAGGAATGAAAGAAGCTTTGGCAAATAAACAGTGACAATATGTTGAAGTAGATGTTGTAGTGGAACATCTGACATTTTTGTTTAATCTGTTGTATGGCCAGGACAAGGACAGGAGAACAGACTTGCAACAGCCAGAGGACAAAAGGGAGAGTTGTTTAAAATTTGTATTGTATTTATATRTGTATTTCTTGTCAAGAAAGCCACTTGGACTCTATTAACACGGGGTAACAAGGGAAATGGACTTCTCTTGATTACAAGGAGTTTTTGATCTCAACAAAACAGAGTCCATATTACCAGAAGTGGGTGAGMCTTGTTTTAGGAAAACAGTCTTAAGAATATGCTTGGGAAGGCTTAAGTGAGACTTAACTTTTTAGTAGATGATTCCTMGACAGTGAGGCTCATCTAGATTTTAGGGAGAGAAAGATGAAACAGATTAGTTGAACATGCAGAAGTCATTGYGTCTATAAATGCTTGTGTAAATCAATTTTGAAGGAAAAACAATAGTCAGAGAGGTGATCCTCCACCCCCAAGGTGCTATTAAAAGATRTAATCTAGAGAATACATAACTGTTGGTACCTTTATTGCAGAGTCACTGGAGCTGATATCGACAGCAGCGAACCATTCCAATGCAGCCATCCGGAAGATGGTGAGTAGCAATTCCAGAATAGAATTGGGATCTGACTGAAACACTTTGCTAAACTGAGGGCCTCCCATTGTAACAGGCTCAGGACAATAGACTGGAAGAATATCTGACTGTCAGTCAGGCTTTAAATGTGTTGGATGTCTGAGTTATTTTTATTGTAAAAGCAGTTTGTGTGGGTTGTTAAGCTTAAATTCCACTTTCCTCGTTCTTAAGGGACCCAATGAGTTGAAAAAGGAATTCTTCATAAAACTCRTTATTTGCTTTTCCTTGAAAACTGTTGAAATTTTTCCAGTTAGGTCCATTCACAAAATGTCCTTTTCCAGATTTTGACAGTGGTTTTTCAGTCCTACAGGAATTCAACAGAATGAGGGTTTCTTTGATTTGATTTTGGCTCATCTTAAGTGCACAGAGTGTGGATTTTGCATGCATCAGTAGCTTTGAAAAGCTGTGCTTCGAACCTGGGCAGTCAGGCTGTAGAGATTTTGGACATTAGCACATATTTTACATACAGAAAAGCTAGTGCATTGCCATTAAAGTAAATGGGCCTTATAGCTGCAGATGTTATCRTTATGATGCACCCACATGTCTCAGGACATTTTGTATTTAACAGACCTGAAATGCAGCCTATCTATGAGTATTTGGGGGTGCAAGGTTTATACTCCAGACCATTACTTCCTCCCCCAGCCGGCAGGGACACCATGAGACCACATTTCCTGTGGCTGCTATGAGGAATTAACCAGCTGATGTCTGTGTATTTTCAGTGTGTCTGAAAATACTCTTAGGAAACCATCTGTTTCTGTTTGAGTCTGGCATGTTCTCTTGATAAGRATATATTTTAGTGGAAATTTTTCTGGTTTGGGGCCTCTAACAACTCTTTTCCTAGGGGCTGTGTACAGTGTCTTTGYCGACATCAGGAATATGAAACACTGGGCTTGTTGTTTTCTGAGTTGGTTGMTTTTTCTGTTAGTACACCAGAACCTATTGAAAAAGGATGCTATAATAATTTTGYTGCATGAGGTCCAAGACAAACTGAAAGGAAAGTGAATGCTGTAGCAAAATCTCCAGAAGCTAGTGGAGGGTTGAATTAATTGTTGGCTGCTTGCTCCTGTTSTGGTGCAGTTGAAGAAACAAATTGTGCTTCCAAAAGTGACTTTTCCTAAAAGTGCTAATACTCCTTCAGTTTTTTTGATCTATTTGTAGTGTTCTAGTTTCTTCTTTAAAAAATGTATAGTTTGATAAGGTCAGAGTTGTTTGTTTGTTTGTTTGTTTGTAATTAAGTGGAATCTCTTGCTCATGATTCCATTTGGTGGAAAAAATCTGCTGCCTTTTGGGGCTTAGACAATTTACTTACTTGTTTTAGTCCACAGCCTCCACCGTCCATTTTGTTTGCAGTGTGTTCATTTTAAAAGTTTAAGAGTTTTTTTCTTTTTGGTGGGGTTTTTTTTTCTGCTATTCATGTCCTTAATTGTTGATCAGAAGAATTGATTAGGACAGGAACTGGTATGATGTGTATTTGTTGTGAGAATTTTCAAGTTAAATGGAGACAGACAAAATATGTAAAGACTTGGAATTGCAGCTTAATCTATGGGAAGGTAGACATATGATTTAGAGATGTGTTTGGGCATGTATTTGAGTGTAATTGGATTGATCTTGGTCCTAACTTCTGACSGTTTGCTGACAGTGCCATTTGGAGCACATCTGTCCAGCTTGGGGTTGGAAAGCTCTACTTCTCCAAAGGCTGTAAATCAGGAGCAAGGTGTACATACCTTTCTCATATTGACTTGCTAAAGCTTCTACACTGGTTAATAAGGCAGCTGCAAGTGGATCAATGAGTCACCATTTGAATACTCTTAGAGGGACTTTGATATTTAGATGTCTTAATTTAAAGTAGAAACAGTGGTTTGCTGAAAAGGAAATAGTAATCCTTCATGAAGAATTTTGACCAAGATATAAGAATGCCTGTATGACTTTAAAAGTATAYTTTAAGAATTTTGGCTGGCCTATTTCAGAGGTACTTTTGGCCATGGAGGCCACTGCATAGGACTGCAGCATTCCCCAGACAGCTGAGGTTTTGGACTTAGCTTAGAGCTGTGGAATGTGACCTGTGCTTAGCTTAGAGCTGTGGAATGTTCTTCCTGATGGAGACCCAGCTCCAGTTGTATCAGCAACAAACACAAGAGGTGACACTTCTCAGAAGTTGAAAAATTATCATATTGTGGCAGACATTTTAGTCTGAGACATGGGATTAATGGAAGCTGGTTTAATAAATTAAAACTTGGAAATTATTTGGTAACACACTGATCTCCAGCTTGGCCACTGATTTTATTGGACATTGCTTCTAAAGTTCCAAAGGATTAGCGTTTGCACTTGACCATCTCAGCGATCTATTTCAACCTTTATGATTCTATGATACATATTTATTGTTGAATAGTAATAGTCTAAAAATATCAAATAAATTGATCTCAAAATGTCATTAAATTGCACAATCCAAGTAAAGCTAATCCAGTATGACTAATCCCAAGTGGGGAATAGTACTGAAGAGTATGCAACAGGTTTTAATATAAATGCAAAGTTATAGGGAAAGTGAAAGACTGCTTTATTTCAACTTMTATACATTTACCACAGAAATGATACAGTGGGCAATAGGCCACATGGAATGTTTGGGGTTTTTTTTAAATTTAAATTTTGGGGTTTTGTACCTGCAGGAAAAGATGCACAAGCTTTTGGAAGTCTATGAGCGCCTGGGTGGAGAAGAGGATATTGTTAATCCAGCCAATGAGCTCATTAAAGAAGGACACATTCAGAAACTTTCAGCAAAGAACGGCACAGCACAGGATAGGTATTTATTCCTGGTGAGTGTTTTAGTTGCTCTTTTATTTTGAGGGTTGTGCTCAGTGCCTTAGAGCAAACTGATCTAGTTGAAAGGGGTCCCTTCCCATGGCAGGGGGTGGAACAAGATGGGCTTTAAGGTCCCTTCCAACCCAAACCATCCTTTGAATCTATGATTCTGTGGTACTTTAACATCTWCCTAAGCTCAAAGACAAAAAGCATACACCAGATGAGCCCAGTTACTCCTAAGCAGCAGTTTTGTCTTGAAGCTTTTTCCTCAAGGATTTTCTTTTTTTTTTCCATGCTATGCCTTTGCTGATGTCTTGTCAGGCCCAAAGGGATCTTGCCCACCTCCCTCCTCAGAGGCTGAGTTTTTGCAGAGTACCACAGGAGGTGGTTTCCTGCCACATCACATTGCTGCTGGAGATGGCCAGCTCTCTAACACTGAGAGAAGAGCTCTYATGCTTTCCAGGCAGTCAAATTCAGAGGGAGGGGCAGAAGGGAGAAGTGACTGGCCTGACATGTCTCTGTCTACCCACTTCTTTCAGTAATGATCTGTCAGCCTCACTTTCACCTTAAATCTCTTCTTGTGAACTATGTCTTAGAGTGAAACACACCAGAGCCCTAAACTTTCACAATGCAGCCTGTGTCCAGCATGGAACCCCCTCAGTTAAACTCYTGTCTTGTTGCAGTTTAACAGCATGGTGCTGTACTGTGTGCCAAAACTGAGGCTGATCGGCCAGAAGTTCAGTGTCCGAGAGAAGATGGACATTGCAGGACTGCAGGTTTGCATCTCTTCTTTTYCTTTTTTTAATGCTTCTCCACTTGATAGCTTAGGATCCCTGCTAAATCCAAACACATAACATTATATGAATGTAAATATATAATAAAATTCTAATATCCAGCTTTGGATCACTTTGGATCAATGCAGCTTTTTTACCGTGAGAAGGACCTTAAGATGCTGGAGTGTGTCTAGAGAAGCACAGCAGAGCTGGGGAAGGGTCTGGAGCACAAGTCTGATGAGGGAGCTGGGGGGAGATAAGGAGTGARGSCTTCTCGTTCTCACGCACCTGMAAGGTGGSTGTAGCCAGGTGAGGGCTGGCCTCTTCTTACAGGTGACAGGATGAGAGGAAGCAGCCTCAAGTTGCACCAAGGGAGGTTTAGGCTGGACATTAGGGAATATTTCTCCACTGAAATGCTTGTCCAGCGCTAGCTGCCCAGGGAAGTGGTGAAGTCACCMTCTCTGGAAYTGTTCAAAAAAACATGTGGATGTGGCACTTGAGAGCATGGTTTTGTGGTGAATATAATGGYGCTGTTTTGACAGACTTGATGAAATAAAGATCTTTTCCAACYTTAATGATTCTGTGATGTATCTCTTTTTGGTTCTTATYGGTTGGTTGGGTTTTTAAATTTTTATAACAGTCATTTAGAGGGGAACAGAATAATGTTGACTGTGTACATGTTTGGATTGAGARCCTTCCCTGGCTGGCACAGGAGCCACTTTCTCCCCCTACTGCTGTAGGAGTCTGGTTGGTGATACAGATCCCACAAGTTTTGTAGCAAGACAGGTTATTATGGAAACAGTCCCTTATTTTTTCTACTTTTATACTTTACTCCGAATGAYCCATTTGACTAAGCATTTCAAAGAATGACTGTATTGGTAAGTCATTGAAAATGTTGGAAAGACAAGATTGATGAGTAAAAAGCTAACATGTGCTTTTTACAGGTCCAAGAAATTGCCAAGCAAAATGTAGCTCATACATTTTCCATAATGGGAAAAAAGAGATCATTGGAACTACAAGCCAGGTATGGTACTTGTTCTGTCTTTGCAGGTTTGTGAGTWTATGAATATGAATTGATTGAGATTCTGTGGTAGTGTGACAGAACTTTAAATCATGAGGTGAGCAGCAGTGGTGGATAACTTAGATATGCTAGAGAATGTTGCTGCAAAGTCAAAGTGTGYTGCAGGCCTGTGTTGTTTGCCTTTATTGAATGCTTTCAGTGTTATAGTAGTGCTTATAGGGTCCACTGTGTCAACGGTATTTTGACATTTGGTAATAATTACTGCCAATGATWATTAATAATGTTTATAAAATAATGATAGCAAAGCTAAAAATCTAATGTATATAAAGCTGTGAAGCTGTGAATTGAATTTAYTAAAAATATTATAAGTAGAATGATGATGATGTTTTCTCTATTTTTCTTTTGTTTAAATAGGACAGAAGAAGAGAAGAGGGAATGGATTCATGTTAGTATAAAACACCAATCATAAGGGGGGGAAAGCATCATGCAGRCAGCATTTAAAATTGTCTTTTTAGGCTTCTGAATTAATGTGGCTGTGCAGGGAAGCTGGGTGGGCCGGTCTGGTGGAACARCTCATGGGGAAGTGTGGAGCCCAGGCAGGGTCCTAGTGCTGACTAGCTGGCTCCAGAAAGTATCTGGGGGCTTCAGCTGAGCTCCCCTTTCCTGCATCCCTCATGTCCAGTATGAGGAGAAGCTGAGGCATCAGACCTTCTTTTTTCTTCCAGTTTGACTTGTAGGAGACCTTGTCTATTAGCAGTCTTAGTTGAAGCTAAAATGATAATGGGTTAACACCACCACTTAAGAATTTCAAGTTTCCCCTTCATTTATGCAAGTGTAAGGGTTTTTCACCGAAAGATAAATCCTACCCATCCTCCTATGAGAGATTTTTGTGATATTTTTGTCTCAGGTCATTCAAGCCACAATAGAAAAGCACAAACAGAACAGTGAGACATTCAGAGCATTCAACAGCTCTTTTTCACAAGAGGAGGAGCATGTTCCTGATTCCTCAGTAAGTACTAGTGCTTCATTCTCCTTTGTCAGAACAGTTTTATCAACAGTTAAGACTTGCACAGCTAACTTTAAAATAGTGGAGTTGTGTTCTGAATTTTTATATGACATTGCAGGACAGTCAGCTCCATTTCTCTGGCTCTCAAATGTATATCAGTCACAGTTACTCAGCTATTCAGATATGGAATAAATTACCCAGAGCAATTCAGTGCCAGAGACCCATCAGTCATGTTTTCCAGGCTGGTGGCTTTTTTTTAGCAGAACAGGTGTAATTCCTCAGTGTTATGAGTGCTTAGCTGTCTGGAATGGTATGTGCTTGGGAGATTTTGTTCATTACCTTTCCCCATCTCATCAGAGATGCATTTGGGGTTTATTTCTTTGATGTTATTTTATTATTATTTAAAATATTTTAAAGACTTGGAAGGAAAATTATGCATTTTAAAAGGATCTTAAAATACTGTCTTGTAGATAATAAATATATTTTAGAAAAAATTCTCTTCAACTAAGTAGGCAAAATAGTCTTGAAATTTATTGTTTCTCTACAGCCATAAGGTATCACTCTGTGTTGTGTTTGCTAGGAACTTTGTTTTAGAAGTATTCACATCAGGGCACTATCTCTCCATTCAACTTGAAAGAGATGATAACCTTAGCCCCAGGCATTTGCTACAAGCTGAAGAGGAATAGGGCCTGTGAGAGCAACTTATTTAGGAATATCATGCAGTGCTACCTGTAACTTTATGACTTCAGGCATGGTAGATCTAGGAGCAGAGGGAGAGAAGGTCCATCTACAGAGAYTGAACTTTGGGGGCTTTTGATCTTCCCCCTCCCCTGCCTCCTAAATTGGTTGTTTGGAGGTTTGTTTTTTTGGTTTTTTTTTTGTTTTGGTACCTAACTGGTTTTGACATCTCTCCTTAGAGATTCAAGACTGATTGAGTGATTTAATAATCTGAATTTTTTATCCACCTGATTTCCCAGAACTTCAGCAGAGATATTGTTATGCCTTTCATCCCAGCATAAATAGGCTGACAGTGAAGACCCCAAAACTCCACAGAATCTAGAATCCTGCTATCAGTGAGCAATGAGCCATTTTCAAAATCTGGCATAGTTTACTTATCCTGAACTTTCCATCAGCTAAAAATACTTAGGAAAAAAATAGAAAATAATCAGTCCATGCCTATATTTTTCAGTTAAATTATAGCTGCATTCAGAGCCAGGAAGCTTTGATTGAAAAAAAAAAAATTGCTAATAAGCGAACTAATAAGCACACTTCTTTCTATATAATTAAAACACAGTAGTTGATCAGCTTCATTATTATCTTGCTTTGTAAATTCAATTTGATTTGCTTGTGTGTTCATGCTGTTCATGCTGACTCTTCATAAAAGTCAAGCAGATCAGGAGTTTGGTTTATCCCTGGCTGTGGTATTAATGCAGTCTGTATGGTAATTTCTTTAATACCAGAATATTAACCTGCAATTTTAGGAGATTAGCTTCTCTAGATAATCAGCTCTGAAAACTGATGTTCCAACTAAATGTGACAAAAATTGGTGTCAGTTAAAATGAGCTGAAGGTATTTCTGTGAGGAAAACTGGACAAMTACTGAGAACATTCTTAACTGCAGTACACTGCGCTGGATAGCATCCACCATACGTATAATCCATGGAATATTGGGCAGCAACTTCAGAGCAAAARGTGGCCCTTTTTTGCTCTCACGAGTCAAGAAATAGATGAGTCARGATCCATGCACTCATGGATTCCTGGCTGGATCTGCAGCTACTACTAGAAATTAGCCTCTGGTTTTATAAAGCCTGTAGAAAGAGAGTCAGATTGTTTTTTTCCTATCCTTGTTACAGTGCTTAGGACTGGTTGCAATTCATGGCCAGTGCATGCAACTCTGACCATACTTGTGTTTCCCTGCTGACTCACATTAGCTCATATCAGCATTTTGGATTGGTGTCAGCCTGAAATCTGCTTACAGAAGACTTAGGTTTTCTGGAAGGTGCAGAGATCTGAAATTTGACCTGACTCTTGAAATTATGCCTGTGCGGGCCATCAGCAATTAATGAACTCTCACCTGTCAGGAGGGGAATATTCAGTGTCATTGCCAGGGAGGGTAATGGTGGCAGTAGTTTTTTTAAAAAGTATTTTTAWAAAGCTTTCAGGTTCCTTTATGGTTTAGTTCCACCATTTTCAGCTATGTAAAGGGTGTTTTTAAAGCCATCTAAAAATGTTCCCAAGGAAAAGGACCTCTTTCACCACTGCTTCATCTCAGAAGAGCTGGAGGCTCCTGGTATGGGGAAGAACCCAGTTTGTGCAGTCTTGGAAGGCAGGCAAGGAAAAGTGCTGCAGAGAGCTGAACTCTGTGAAAGTGGCATCCYTAAGATTTGAGATTGAGAATGCTTCTGTTAGTTGAATCATGATTGTTAGATGCTGAATCATCATTATTTCCCACCACTGTTTTTGTCCCCATACATCTGGGGTRGTTCTGACAAACACATCAATAACTGTATTCTTACTAGTTCTTAGACACTGAGTCATAATGGTAACATAACAGGGAGAAGCCCTTCTGAAATATTTTCCAGGTGAGAGTAGAGGGTACTTGATTTTTAGCCCATTATTCCAAATAAACAAACAGRTAGGGGGATCTGAATAGGCAACTGGAGAAATTTACTCTTTCCCTAAATTTGCTGGGGGTTTTCTCAATTTCTTCTTCAAACCCTGCTTTTTCTCCACATTTTTCTTTTTCCAAGTCCCGTCATAGYACACAGATATCCTTTTACAAGGCAGAGTAGATCCCTGGGTTGATTGGGATTCCAGAACCCACTTTGCAGTGGACTCAGTAGCAGATGATGTGAACACCTTAGGGYTGCTGAGTTTTTGCAGAGGCAGAAATAGCTGGTTAGAGTTGAGTGGTGATGCTTCCCTGAGGAAGTGCTCTTAGGGTGACACAGCCCTGGCTCCAGAGGATGCATTTGCTCCTTTCCTTTCTGATTGTATTAGAATATAAATAGATCCAATGAGACATCAGAATGAATAGCTCTTCAATYTGGCCATTTAAACAGAGATTAAACCTTTTTGCTTTCAAATTAAATGAAGCCAGAGTGCCAAAATGCACTGGCCATTTGAATAATCTCAAAATAAGAGATGTTGTCTGATAGGCAAAGGAAGAATGATCTATGGGATTAACAGGAGAATTTATTGTAAAGAATCTAATAGTTTGAGAACTGTGTAAACTAGCAAATTCCCTGTAAATTAACGGCAGATAAGATGATTTTCCATTCTTTTTAGAATGTAGCCTATGATTTTGGTATTAATGTACAAAACTTGTTAATTGACCTCTATATGTATTGAATACTATTGAATGTATGTGTATATATATCTATATGTAGGATACATATAGATATATGAATATTATTTATTAACTCTGTATGAATATATATAGATATACAAACATCAATGTGTATTCAGAACATATACATCAATGTGTATTCAGTATGTATACATCTCTGTGACTGAATACTTAGAGRTGCCAGTTCGCATTTATTTGCAGACTGAGATTGTAAAGAAGAAAAACTTAGCTGATTAGTGTTTTGATGGACTAAATTTTTTTTCTGTCAGAATCCAATGCCTTCACAGAGCCATAGCTGCTTTGGCAGGCAGACCCCAATGGAGCAGTGTCCTTCAAAGCACAGCACTGGCTTTCTGCAGCATGTCGGGGACAGGCAGGTTGCCAATTCAGTGYCATCTGTAAAGTCACCCACATCAGAGCCAAACACATATTTGAGAGCTGCTGAGCACATGTGCAACACATGCACTTGGTCTAGTGGAAGGTGCTCCTGTTAATGGCAAGGGGCTGGAACAAGATGAGCTTTAAGGTCTCTTTCAACTCAGATCAYTCCATGATTCTTAGATCTGATTTTATGAATTAAAGTGTACTCACAAGCAAAGAGTTGAGGGGCTGAAAGCAAACTCTTTCTTTTAACTTTTTTCTCCCTGTTTTTTCTTTGTTTTCTTTTCAATGTTTAATGTATTTTAGAAAGAATGACCATGTTGAAACTGTTCTGTGTTCTGTTTCTCCTCAGATAGCCAGCCCTAGCTCGGTGGAATCAATGCTAGGAGTAGATGGTGGTGCATTAGGAGGGGTGAGTAATTTGAAGCTAATACATCAGACAGAGCAGCACTGGGAGATGGRTTATGTGTCTTGTAGCAGGATAAGAAAATCGTACTTCAATATAGGTTTTATAGGGGGTATATCCTACTTTTTGTGGCTGCAGCTATGCTGTCCTTCACTTCCTGCCTAAGTTATACCTGTAGCTACTTGTCATTTGCATCATCAGGGAATTTGAGTCCTGCTCAGATATATCACAAAAACCAGTAAATAAACTTTCYAACCCATTTGCTGGGTTAAAAAGCTGACATTATTAACAGTGCTGGGTGTGTGGGRGTTTCTCCTCAAAGCATGCATGGACTTCTTCAAGAAATACAGTGTTTTCTGTAAAAAATCATCCTCTTGAAATTTAATATCATTYCTTTAAAGTCTCATATCCAGTTATTACATTGACCTTGTCTACCCAGTGGTAAGCGTTGTATTAGGTAACAAATGATTAAGATCAGGAGTAGGAATATCACAATAAGTGCGAACGGTCCTGAGACCAGGAAACCTATCTGATTTCATCTCCAGAGTCAAATTTTGGATAACACTTCTTCCACAGTATGCTTCMTATGTTTCTGCTAGTGCTGAGGAAGAGATTGTAGTACTTCCATACATCTCTGGCCTTTAAAAAATTGACTGCCATAAAAGAAAATACACTTTCAAAGGTATTTTGCATTTTGATTAGTACAACTATGACTCCTGCTGAGTCAGACCCAAGGATTTTAGTCCTTAATAAAGTCTATTTTTTATCATTCTTATCTCTCTCTTCTAGAACAAAAGATTTTCAGGAAATGCCAAGGGTCAGTTGAATTTACTGAAAATCAGCCTCAACAAGAACAAAAAACCAACCAAAAATACCGTTACCTATAGAGATGTGCTATAGGATGTTATGTGTTAGCATATGTTAGTTAGTTATGTCATGATTTTAATAACAAAGCAGCTCCTCCAGACCTCTGGCCAAGCTTGGAACTTTCTGGTAGAGTGTACAGAATGCCAATTCAAAGCTGTTAAACAAGCCAGCAACCTGACTTATACAAAAAACAGTTTATAAGTGTTTGTGATTAGTGTGCTCCTTGCTGGATGTTTTTTGTACTCACTTCATATTTTCACTTAACAATTTTTTCTTTATTTATAGTCAGTTTTGTGAGTGGTGTTCTGAGCCTTTAGTTACAGATAGTGTATTGAGTGAGCTACTTTAAAAAAGGATGTTTTCCAGTAATCTTTTTTTCTTAAAAACACATTAAATTTTTGCTTGGTCCTAATTTTATTTGGAAAATGTAGATTTTATTTGTAATTAAATTAAAAAGTTGTCTTTTTTAGTTGATTCTAAATAGTTGTGTCAGTGATTGGCATAGCACATCTTGATACATTCAAGTAATTTTCCTTAAATGATGTATTTAAAGAAAAATTTAATTCCTGACATAGAAATAAAAATGGACTTGATCAAAAAGTCAAAGTTAAAAATACCCAGAATTGTATAGTATTGATTCTGGGCTCTAATTTAGCTAAAATAGATAATATCAATGTGAATAATGAATAAAAATGTTAGTTGCAGCTTCATAAAATATAAATTTTTAGTGCTGACATCCCTCTCGTAACAGCTCAGTGAAAGCACGAGCAATACATTATGTGCTCAACAAATTGAGCATGCAAACCACTTGGTGGTAGTGGTGGCCAGCAAACTGGGAGCTCCTTTCTGTGCTTCCCCAGCCTGCTCAGGAGCCTTCTGGGATTTTGTTCAGTGTTCACGTTTTCATAAACAGACAGTGAAATCCTACTGCAGGAAGAATCATCTGCTCATCTACAGCATCATGATACCTCTTTGATGAATTGTCTTGCTTGGTACTGCTAGTGCAGCTTATGCTCAGACTTTGGTGTGCAGGAGGAAATACCAGCCAGTGGAAAATGTCTTATGCATAACCTTGCATATATACTGTTGGCATGTAGAGAAACAAACTAAAAAATTACCAAATACAGAATTTGCTATATAATTTTAAATTATTTTTCACCTATATTAAACATTTCTGGAAGCATCTGCTGATGTTCTACCCCATTGTGGTTTGCACCAAATAATTAATAGTTAATTTATAAATGGAGAATACACCTGTAAGAGCATAATGAAAAGGAAAATAATCTAAGCTGCTTTATAGCTCATATGTCTGCACCTGTCAGTGTCTCATCAGACTGTGTCTATGAGTTTACATGAGCAACATTGGGCCTGAGTTTCTACCTGTTGGCCAAACAGAATGAAATAACGGGCACAGAGGAGCTGTGGCTGCCCCATCCCTGGAAKTGTTCAGGGCCAGATTGGACAAGGCTTGGYGTACCCTGGGATGAGTCCCAGCCTGGACCCACCTGGAAGGTRTCTCTGCCCCTGGCAGGATGGTGGACGAGATGAGCTTTAAGGTGGCTTCCAACCCAAACYGTGCTGGGACTGCGTGATTCTATGACTATATAGCAAGTAATAAATAATGGTAACTGCAATCTCCAAAGCCCACTATTTTTTTTTGCTTTTCCTACCAGCTTTTTTCCCCTGCATTTCTGATGCAAATGGAAGCTCCATGGATCACTAAAGCTAAGATGTCTGCTTCCCTAAGAAAGCCAGCCACAGGCCTTCATCTTGCAGTCACATGAGTTCTACCTGTTGCTGGGATATATGCTGGTTTTCCATCAAAATTTTAAAATTGGAAGACACTGTCAAGATTTAGAGAGTTAAATGCAGCTGTAGAGTAAAAGCAAATTGGCAGTCAAAACAGCCTAGTCTGAAGGAAGTAGATCCTGGCTCGGAACAGATTTTATGTGAGTGTTTTTCCCTGTCAGACTTATCGGTTTCAAAACAGAGTTGGGTATACTGAGAAAGATGAGAAAATTGACAATTATTCAAGCTCATTAATATCCAKATACTGAAGTGAGGGCAGCTCTGTGTTCGCACCCCTTTTAACAAGCATCAGCAGTAAATGAAGTAGCTTGTGGAATAAAGGACACAGTTGCAAAGAGACTGTTAAGTTTATCTACATGAACAGTGTGAGTTACAATGCATATCCTTGTTYGCTATAAAAGCCTCTCTGTTCAGATGAAGTGTTAAGAGTATGGTCAAGGTCACCTGAGCCATCGCTGGGTGGGATGAGGGCACTGCCAGTGCAAGAAGGTCCCCTCATTTCCATAGGAATGGAAAGCAATTTTTTWAAAATTATTTTTTCAATGTCAGCAGTTAAATAATACATTACTGAAAAAGACTATTCTAAAATAACTCACTGGAATTTGCCAAGTAATAAAGACTTTTTCATTTTTATTATCTTTTCTGCAGCTAGAATAGCAGTGTTTCAAACTCTTGTGTTCTCACTGTATTCTGACAATGCTGAGAAATATTGTGAAATACTGCTGGCATTCATCAAACACTTAAAGACATCTTTATACAGGGCCTTTTTGGACTGGTGAAGTTCATATTAAGCTTGTTGTATGCTACAGCGCAAGTTAAAATGTGATGGTGTAAAATAGAAGCTCATGCAGAACTGTCCTAGCAAATCTTGCCCAATATAATACACTTTCTGCYTTCTTTCTTTGTCCCATTTGGGTAATTTTTGGAAGTAGACACTGTCCAGACTGTTCCACGCTRAGGAGGAAGTGAAATAGATCTGTTAGAGGAAGTATTCAACTTGAGTCTTATCTATGTTGTAGAGCATGCATGTGGGAGATGATGGATATTCCTAATGAAGTACAACCAAATTAACCAGTTTCCACACGAATCCCACCCAATTCATAGTAGGGGAACTACAGCGTTTTTCTTATGTAGGTACCTACATGTAGGTGCCTACTGAAAGCCAAAAATTTGTTTTCTTTTGCATTTGTTGGATTATCTTCCGGTCAAAACTCACAGGGCAAAATGGTGCCCTCATTTTTGGTCTTGCCATTCCATTGTGTAATTGTGGTTGATATAAGAATCAAAAGCCTTGGTATGCTATATGCAGATTTGAACTATTAAGATGAGAAAAAAATAAGGCTGGCCAGTGCAGAAATGCTCTGATCTAACAATTTAGGGCAATCCATCCCTCCCTAGTGGAAGGATAATCAGGCTTGTAAAACATTACATATTATGAACATCAAAATTAGAGTAACAAACAGCTGACTTTAGTCAATATGTGTGATACAAATAAAAAAGTTACTGTGGAGGTTGGTGCTGATCAGTCAAAGCTTTTGGAACTGGTCTTATTGTCTGCCTTACTTGGAGGGGTCTGATAGAGCCTGGAAGGAAAAACTTGCCAATGACTCATCCTAGACATTGTTCTRTTTGGTGTCACAGTGGTTCTAGTAGTTCTTTACCAGTAAAGTGAAAAACTGTTCTTTGCGCCCTCCTTTGTGGGAGGAYTTGGATTTGGAAACATTCTGTTTCATTGGGCAATTAATATGTGGTTTTATGGGGTTATAGTGTTTTTCCTGAATGAACAAATCTGTGACTGTGTTCACCAATCTGAATTACCAAACATCCTATGTGCTTATATACAAGTTTGAAACATTGCTATTGCAGCCATAGAAAAGATAATAAAAATTGGAAGATTCAATGCAATTGAGGTACCTAGTTGCGGTTTTGTTGTGTAATAGCATTATAACGCAGAGTAGCTCCAGTGGCTCTGCTGAAATACAATGTGCTTTCCTCTGTAAGCAGGGAATCCAAGGCAGACTTGAGGAGGCTGAAAGATGGGACTSGTGTCAGCTTATAAACTTCAATATTTTTTTCTTTAATTGGCCTGAAAAATCTCTATTACTGGCTTCTGTAGCTTAGTCATAACCACTGAGATGAGACCTTATTTTGAATGGAAGGATTTACCTGAGAAGGAGTGTTGTCAAGGAGCCATGATCTGTCTATCCAGCAAAGGACCTGATCTTCAGCAGCTGATTTCCAGAAAATATGTTAAATACCTATGCCCTTTTGTTTTAGAGGAAATGTTTATTCTCCCAGTAGTTTGTTAAATGATTGTATCAAGCAAGCAAAGATGAAGAGAGTTATCAAACCTCTCTCATAGAAGAGCTGTGCCAGAGGAATGTGGTGCAGCCAATCCTTTGGATCTCCATGTGGATGCTGCCTGGCTGGGGGTACCCCAGTACCCCAGGAAACTGCTACTCCCTTGCACAAAGCCAGCTTGGCTAGGAAGGAAGCATAGTATTTATATATTCTGTAAAAGGAAACGAAACAAAAAATCTACTTGAAGCTCCATGTGAAGTTGTACTTCTGTGACCTGCACATTGTTATGTTAACTATAGAATCATGGAATGGTTTGGGATGAAAGGGACCCTAAAGATGATCTCATTCCAGCCCCCACCGTGAACAGAGACACTTTCCACTGGACCAGGTTGCTCAGAGCCATATCCAACCTGGCTACACGCTGACACCTCCAGGCATGGGAAGTCCAGTTGATGTTGGATCCAGTAATGCTATTCAGTTTGAGAATTGTGCAATAGGGTTTGCTGAGTGACTTTAGGTACCAACTTGGATTTTAAAGCTAACTTGCCTGGCCATCTAGACAGGTAGTACAGGTCCCTGGTGTGGGTGTCCCTGCCTTCCTGAGGAGCTTTATGCTTTGTCTTGGGTTGGGAGGAAGCCTAAGAAAACTCCTAAATTAATCATTTGAAGCTGACAATGTCCACTCCCAGCACCATGCACTTCTTCAGTCAAGCCATTATCTCCAAAATCTTCACACCTTGTCCCCACCAAGGGAGGGAAGTTTACATTGCACTTGTAAAGTCAACATAAAAAAGGAAGACATGAGTGCTGGAAGGGAATTTTTTTTGAGATGCCCACTTTGGCCATTYCTCCTCACTGACAGGGAGAGGAGATTGTGCCATGGCAGTGAGGAGATAGATGAGTGGGCAGAGAGGGGCTGAGACCACAGAATGTCCCCCCCAGAGTCTCCTGATGGTTGAGCCAAGCACCCAGCTGAGGCAAGCAGCAGAGTTATGCAAATTCTTACTAAAATGGTGTSAACCCCGAAGAGGATCTTTGTCAGTAAAACTCTATGATCAATTTTGCCTTTTAAAATTATTATTTTTTAATCACATACTCGTACTTTTAATTTCAGAGTGATTCCTCTAGAAAATCTTCCAAATCCAAGCGGGACAAAGAAAAACAGGCTTGTAAGAGCTGCAGTGAGAGCTTTAACTCCATCACAAAGAGGCGGCACCACTGTAAGCAGTGTGGGGCAGTAAGTATCTCAACACATTCAGCTCTTGAGTTCCTTCTGCAGAGACCATTGAAGACATTTTTTTATTTTTTCAGTGCAGGGACTAAAAGACATTCTGGTTCATAGCAAGTCAAACCAAGCAAGTTTTTCCACTTGCTTTCCTCTCTGGGTATCGGGGGAAAAGAGCAAAACTGGTACAAAGGTCCCAGGTTTTGCTGGTTTAAAGACAAATTCAGTGCCTCAGTGCRTAGAAAGGTGGTGCTTTCCCTGGGGATGGGTGTGTATCTGGGGAGGGGGTTGTAGTTTGTTTGCAGAAGCAAATGGCCTTCAGACAGCCTGACTTCACCCAGACAGCAGCTCTTCTAAAATGAGCAGCTGAACATACAACAGTAAAGATGGTATTAAGCTATTAGAGAACATCCGAAGGAGAGCAACAAAGATGGCAAAGTGAAGCCATGTGAGGAGCAGCTGAGGGCACTTGGTCTCTTCAGCCTGGAGAACAGGAGACAGAGGAGACTCACTGGGGTCAACAACTTCCTTGTGAGGGGAAAAGGAGGGGCAGACTCTTTCCAGGACCCAAGGGAATGGCCTGAAGTTGTGTCAGGGGAGGTTTAGGTTAGATACTAGAAAGAGGTTCTTCTCCCAGAGAGTGGTCAGGCACTGGAACAGGCTCCCCAGGGAAGTAGTCACAGCACCAAACCTGCCAGAGCTCCAGGAGCATTTGGACAAGGCTCTCAGACACATGATGTGAGTCTTGGGGRTGTCCTGTGCAGGGCCAGGAGTTGGACTTGATGATCCTTGTGGATCCCTTCCAACTCAGCATATTCTGTGATTCTTCCCCTCATGAAAAGTTGTTCAAAAGTGGTTTTATCCAGTTGAAAAACCAAAGAAAGCCCATCCCAGAGATGCAAGGCTAGATTACTGAAGGTCCTTGSCCACCTCCCTTACTGCCATTTATCGACTGCTGAATTACCCTTTYTTTTTCTGTAAATCATAACCACAGCCAAGATGAGATGGATTTCTGCAAGATGACTTGAAAACTCACTTARTATTCCTAATGTAACTAATACAGAGTAATGTTATTTAAATAACATTAGTCATTTGATGTGGAGATAAATTTTCAGCTGCAGAGAGACCTTAATAGGATACATAAGATGTTTAAAGAAACCTCAGTCTCAGCAATGGAAATGAAATTGCTGTGGAGAAGGAATTTTTACTCTAGAGTTGGGATTTTCAACCTTTTGGGTTCTTTTTTCTTGATAATTGCTTAAATCATTAAATGTATTTCTGGGGGTTTAAAATATCTCATTACAAAGTCAGTGTTACTAAATAAATTAAAAAATGGTTTTCCCCCAGAAACAGAGATAACAAGAATTACATCATTAATAATTGATAGTTAAAAATTGTTTGTTGTGCAATGCCTTGTGGTGTGGCAATAGCATTTGAATTAAAGAAGTAAATTTGTCTCAAGGAAAGACTATAATTTCTAAAAATGCTGTCCTGCTATTGTTCGGGTAACACTTCCTGAATTAAAGGGAGTTCTCCTCATATAGTGTTTAATGTCTTACARTGGACCATGTAACAATGTACAGTGTGCTGCGGCTTTGTGGTTATTATTGAACAAAAATTCAGAATGGRTGTCCATCAGGCTGGCACCCTCAGGACAGTTCTGTCCCTGGAGCGATGAACTTTTAGCATGAAAACAGGTTCTGGAGCTGCAGATCCAGCATTCTTTCCAAGCACTGGCTCCTTGGGCCCAATATGCCACTGCATGCTCTTGGCAACTGAGGCAGACAAGTCATTTTTAGTGGATAATATGTTGGACTATGCTCTTAAAATAATTGGTGCTTTCTGGATTCCTCAGTTTCCCAGGATGTCCTTGATTGATGAGCAAAGACAGCCACTTTCACTCTGATAATCTAGTCCTTCCTAGACCATTAAAAAGCACTRATTGCTTTGTTAATTAAAGCTCTTTTTGACTTACAAAAACTTATAAGAAAAGACAAGAAAAGCAAACTTGCGTGATGTTAGTCATAGAGTATTTCCCCAGAGACATATGTTTTCTCAAATTTGGTGCATTGGCATACCRCATGGGATCACAAACACATTAATTATTAATGGAGGTAAAAATGGTGAATATTATATTGATCTGTATCTTACGTTTACAGTAGTTTTCATAGAAATTTACTTTAATAACAACCATTCTGCAAGTCAATTTCTTTGTTAAAGGGTTGTGTTTTAAACTTGGCTAATTAAACATCATCTTTCTGTTACAGGTGATCTGTGCAAAATGCTCCGAGTTTAAGCCACTTGCAGATAACAGCCGCCATAATCGAGTGTGTAAAGAGTGTTTCCTGCAGGTTCCAGCAGGCCCGTGCAGCCCTGGGGTGGAAGCAGTTGGAGAACAGAAGAAAAGACTAACAGCAGAGGTACAGCCTTAGGCTAAGAAACTTTGTGAGGCTCTCTCTTTTTTTAGTGTATTTATTAAAAACTAATCAAATTGGTTTTCTATGCCATCATGATGTTTATTCCTCTGACTTATAATTCACATTGAACACACCTGGATGTGTGCAGCCTGGATGCTATTTGTATATGGTGAGCGTTCATCATAGGATGCTGATCACACAGGGATGCATACAGGTTTGGCAGCTAAGCTTCATCTTCCAAAGTTGCAAAAAAAGAGGGARAAACCTCTGGCTTGTCTTTATTATGGTCCATTTCCAATCTTGAGCTGCACATAATAACTACTCAAAAAAAATGTTTTTTCACTTTTAATTCCATGTAGTAGGTAYTTTTGCACTCCTTATTTCACATCCTGTCAAAATATATTGAAATTAACTTTTTTCTTAGTTGATTAGTTGGACACTGGGACAGACTCCCCAAGGAAGTGGTCACAGCACCAAGCCTGACTGAGTTCAAGAAGCATTTGGACAACTCTCAGGCACATGGTGGGACTCTTGGGGATGTGCTGTGCAGGGCTAAATGTTGGACTTGATGATCCTTGTGGGGCTCTTCCAGCTCAGCATATTCTKTGATTCTGTGATTGCACAATGACATCCTTCTGGAAGACTGTGATGATTCACTGGAATTTTCTCAACCCTACTATAATGTAGGTGCTTTCCTCCAAAGAACGATATCCACAAGCCACACTGTGTAAGCTGCTGCTTTACCATTGTCAAAGGTATCACCAAACTTTTCATCCTGAGAGCAGCACATCCTACCCTCATTTTTTACGGGAATAAGAAACATGTTGGCAAACTGTTTTTTTTAATCTTCACCCACAAAACTGAAACTATTTTTTAGCTAATTGGTTTTTAGACCATGGGCAGAACTGTGAGTACCATTACAAGCCATGCTTTTCATGGGCCACCTCGAAGAAATGGGGTTTATTTATTTCACCTCAAATACAGCGAGAAGTGGGTAGATAATGTTAAAGAGGACATTCATCTTAATTGGAAGTGGATCCACAAGGACATCTGATTCTTGAAAGAGCCACTGACACACTGCGAACTTAACTTCACTGCCAGTTATCCTTCCCCCACAGGCTGACCTTCACCATTCTGCTCTGAGTACCTCATGTAAAATGGGGGAATAGATGCACCCTATATTAAAAATCACCATATCTTGAAAATYCTTTCTGGAAGCCACTATTTGGAGCCATTAGGCTTCCTCCCAGCCTTGTCACACSTTGTCCTACCACTCATCATACCAAAGTATCTGGAGACAAGATGGGCTGTAAGCAAGAAGCATGAATCTGCAAGTGCAGGCTCAGAGSTCCTGTAGTAATCTCCCTCAAATAGGGAAGTTTAAGCTGGATATCAGGGAAAAATTCTTCCCATAGATGGTGGTCAGACACTGAATAGGCTCCCCAGGGCAGTGGCTCSCCAGGGAGCTCAAGGAGTTGTTTGGACAATGCTGTCAGGGATGCACAGGATGTCTGTGCAAGGCCAGGAGTTGGACCCGATGATCTTGTGGYTCCCTTCCACCTCAGGGGATTCTGTGGTTCTGCGATTCTTAAACTCTGTTGCGCTCTGCTCTCCAGCATGTTGGTCTTGTTACAGGCTAATTAATGAACCTGAGCAGGCAAACTTACACCAGCATGGTATCCCAGAGTGAACCCTGCTGTTTGGGCGCTTTGTCAGCTTTCTACTCAAACACGTCCAAGATATGAACAATAGAGTGGGGTAAAGCTGCAGGTCCACATTGCCCTGCCCTGAGCTGCCAGGTCTGCAGAGCACAGAGAAAGTTCTGGCTGATCCCATCAAAACCTTCAGATATGGTATCAAATATTGCCCTCCGCAGCAGGGGGATGGAATGAGATTGTTTCTACRTTCCCTTCTGACCCAAACCATTCTGTGATTTTATGGTATATGCTCCAGCTATGCCTACAGATGACAAGCTCTTCATGGGTGTCAACACAGTCTGTGGKATCTCACAACAAACTTAAAGCACTCTTTCAGTAGGAAAAGTTTCAGGTGAAAACCTGCACCTTTGCTGGGAAGAAAGAGCACTGTTAATCTGAAAACCTGAGACGCAAATGTGACCCATGGCTTTACTTCAGCAGGCAGATTGTAGCGAAAAGCTGCAAAAACCCAAGGAAGTGTCATTTTTTCTTCTTCTGCTCAGGCTTCTAGTTTTTTTGTTAAATCTTCAGAGGGTGAGATAAAATGCAAGAAAGTCAGTGTGTAGAAAGAAAAGATCAGTCAGGCTTTTTCTTTCCCTTATATTTGCATTAAACTTTATTAACAAGCTTAGTAGCAGCTAAGGAGATTCAGGAGGCTTCTGCGCAAATCCTAATGTGAACAGGAATTTTGATTTTATTTGCTTTCTATCAGAACACAACCGTTTCTTTTCAATCTTTTTTTGCACTTTGGCTCCATCAATGTACAAAAGGATCTGTTAATTACACCCTTTGCATTAATTTGAAGTCATCTCCCATCCTACTTTGTTAAGCAAGAAATGAGCTGCATCTTCTTAATTACCATTCTCAATTTACTGGGTGGAAGTTGAATTTAACTTCATGTCCGCTGGGAAGGGTGGTTCAGCCTCTGCCTCCGTTACATRGAATTTTTATGCTATTTCTTTATTGTATATAATAATTATTAATTTTTTATTTTGTTATAGCCTATCCAACATTTGCCCTGCAGTGTTATTTGACTCTGCACAACTTGAGTATTTGATACTTAATTCTAAGTATTTTGCACACTTAAACATCAATGGAAACAGTTCTGTTTTCTTTTTTTTCCCCTTTATCCAGAAGCAAAGCATCCTTGCAGCTGAAAACAGCCTCTTCAGCAGCTACCTCCAGTTCCTTGAAAAAGGGAAGACTTGGTATAAAATGTGGGTGACCATCCCCAAGAGTGAACCTCTTGTTCTGTATCTGCAAGGAAGCAGCCAGGTAAGATGGCATTTGTGAGGGTTAACACACAGAAAAAAATAAGCATAAGTTTAAATATGTCAAGCTGAGAAATGGGTCAAAGGATTTGGTTTGGTTYCTACAACAAAACTGAATTTTCTATTCTGGATGTAGCACAAAGCCTCAGCAATTCAGATTACCTTGTTACCTGTACTTACCGCTGATACAGTTGTGAGCAAATATTAAAGCTCATTGCTTTTCCCTTCAAATTTTTAGGGRAAAAAAAGGGCAAAACAGGGATAAGTAGGTTATGCTTCAGCTTTTTTATTGGTTTCAGGTGGGTATATTCAATGTGCTGTCATTAGGGAAAACACTTTTGTGTTAAATATATAGAAATGCAAAGGGGYCTGGACGTTGCGATTGCTGGTTCAAGCTTTTTTTTTTTTTTAAACCTAGTTCTGGGTTAATGGGATAGAGGAATTTGTGAAAATGTAGATGTTCTTCAGCCTGAAAAATGGTAAAGCTCCTTATCATAGTGTTATGGGGTTCTATCTTTACTTGAAATACTTACATTGATATTTCAAGAATATTGTATTCTTGAAATACAAGAATTTTTTGTCTCTTAACTGTGCTGTTGAAGMTAACTGGAATTTGTGTGTAATGAAAGTCAAGGGATAGAAACRTGCAGATCCAAAATAGAACTATCAGTCATGCATTCTTAGCATAAAAGAATGACAATGCTGAAATAAGATTCCCCAACTCCAGTTTTGTATTTGGCATTTGATACATTTATATACAGCTTTGGTTTTCTCTTGTGGGAGAAGATGGAATGGGTCTGAATTCAGTCAGCAATTAGCCTGCTGTAGTTGTAGTGATAAGGAGGTTTCCTTTTTATTAGCATCTGTTTGTGGCTAGAAACAGTTCAGGAAATCAATTTTCCCCATGATTTTACAAAGCATTTCAGAATAAGACTCATCCTGTATCTGATTTTCAACAGGTACTATACATTGTCGCTGGAGCTGTGTTCATTTTGCTGCTTGTCAGCAGGAGCACCTCTGGCTTTAAACAAGTTTGTATAATGTTTTAAGCATAGTGTTCAAAAAGGCTGAAAGCTTGAATTTGGAGCTTCAATCCTTTGGCTCCATCTATGGTTCCAGCGCCACATTGGGTAAGCTTCCCATTCATCCTGCAGGCAGCGAGTTGCCTGGCTTCCTTCCTAGTCAGCGGGAGATATGTGGCTGAACTTACACATTGAAAAAGCAAACAACCTCAGACAAGGCACAAAAACAAAGGCAAACAAATCCAGTCTTTGACTCTCAGTGGAGTCCAGGTCTAGGGAAAGGAGCCATGCTTTCAAAAGCCAAGCCGAGAGAACAGCCTCACCCACARAACATTTAAACTGATGTGTAAGCTGTGCCTCAGCCAAGTGCCAGTGCCCTGTATCCACAYAAACCAAGCCAGATTGTCTTACACTTGGGCAAAGAGAGTGGGAATAGACAGAAAGAGGTTTAAATTCTCTGGCCTTCCTCACACAGAAACAACTTGCGTCATCTAAGAGGTGGCAGGGATGAGAAGTTGAGAGGAAGCAATACCCCTTACACAGTATGATTTAGAATTTATCCTACTGTGCAATTGATTGTTGCAGCACAGCACAAATAATAATCCATGGACAAAAATTACCTGCATTCAGTGCAAACAGAATGGTGCTCAATKCTGCAGGCCCCACCTGACAGTCAAAGCTGCACATGGAAGCGGAGGAGCTTCTCTGCTTCAGTTGCTGGGTACTTTGTCCATCTCCTGCCAAATTTGATCCTGAGCCTTTGCTGATATTATTAGTAAGATCCTGTTTTTTAGGGGAAAACGGTGCCTTTGACACTGATTTTCAATTTTATGGCAGTTACATTTCAGGTGTAAGATAAATCTCCCAATAAGATGTCAAGAAAGCAACAGGACAAGGTTATCTGTCTTACATTCCAAAAACAGGATTTGCTGTCAGGAATGAGGCTATAAACAACAAATGTGAATCCTTTCTTCAAGGGCCTGCTGTTCCCATTTGTGTACCTCAGTTTGCCCAACTGCAGGAAAAAACTTCAGAAGCAAGAAAAACTTCAGAAGCAAGTCCTATTCCTTGATATTAATCCAACGTTCTTGTTAGTTTTAGTTTACGTAGGATACACTAGACTTCTGAGGAGAATCTCTTCCAGAGCTTTATTACTGGTGTCTGAATGTCTAGAATCAGTTGGGAGCCACTCATGTGCTTAAATATTATTTTTCCAGTCATAGTTCTGTTTTGTAGAATCACCTCAGTGGATCTCACAGACCSCTTTATACCTTCAAAGAAGCATTTCAGTGCCTTAGAGGTGTCTTTTGGGAATAATATTACCAACAAAAGAATTAAAAGTTGTGAAACCTTGAATAAACCATGACTGTAGAAGTTTGAAAGTTGGGGCATTATTGTTAAGAAGAAAAGAAAGACTAGCTGCCTCTTGGGAAGAAGGAGAAAACCTGAAGAAGGAGAAAACCAAAGCTGAATATGGAGCTTTGAATAAAGTGAAAGCTTCTTCCTCTGCACCCCGGTCCTCACACCCAAGAAGGGACGCTAGTGCGGGTAGAAACATGACTCACAGATTTAAAATAGCAAGAACACTGCTCTTTTGCTTTAGATTCTTGTTCCCAGAGAATGAATGCATTGCCTGAGTGTTTGCAGTTCAAGTCTTGTATAAGACTTTATGCATGAGGATTAATTCCCAGCTTGTTTAGGTTTGAGAATCATACAAATTTGATTTGTCTTCAAATGGAGACAGAATCTGTACAGCTGYTTGCCGGGTTTGTCTCAATGAAATTGTAGGAGTTTGCTTATAAGCAAAGACCAAGTGTAAAGAGCAGCAGTTTTAAGAGAAATTAGTGCTGTCTTTTCAAGGGCTTCACCTGGAGCTTCTGCCCCTGTTGGTCTTGTAAAATGCACAGCTACTTGCAAAGCTCTGACATGAGCTTACCTAGTGAGACATGCAAAGTTTAGGTTTCCAGGCTAGCTAAAAGAGTAATGGATTGTGGAGAAATAAGAAGGGTAAAACCAGTATAGTTAGAGCTAGTATAYATCTGTATATCAGATCAAGATTGATTCAAGAGAAAATTTTGCTTTATAAAGAAGAAAATATTTCCATTCATCATGTAAATGTGATTTACTTTTAGAAAATAAGGGAGTAGCTGAGTTTGAAATTGAGCTCAGGGTTTATGAGAAGGTGTTTTGTTTTTTGTTTTTTTTGCTTGCGTGTTGACCCTGCTTAGTAGAAGCTTTACCCAGACAAAACTCTGCCTTGCCCTTTTTTGGTCCTGAAGATCTTTGCATCCGTGGAGTCTCTCAATGACTTATGCAAGGTTAGAGTTTAGATCATGAGTGGTAAAGGATGAGTTTGGGTAAAAAAAACCCAGGGGKTTTCTGTTTTTTCTGCCTACTCAAAAGTAGGGGGGGTGGGAAACGTTGGGGGAATATTACAGTGGTGCCATTGGTAGGTCACTYTTGTATAAGAGAGCTCATACCCTGCAAAGGGCTATGCAGTGCAAGAGGCATACCTGTATACAGGGTGCCTGAAATAGAACTGCCTAGGTGGTGGAACCGAGTTGTCTATTCCCAAATCTTAAACTCTGTATGTTGCAATAGCTGTAATAGAGCAATAAATACATGCTGCTGTAATGACCTAGATAAATAACCTGTGTTGTGCTGCTGAGAGTCAGGATGAGTGCATAGTGCTTGTGATTGCTGACAATATTGCACATCCACTCGATTTTTATCTATCACTGAACTTACTGTCAGAAGAGAATTATTGTAATTAGACCTAAAGTGAAGCTCTTTGAGCACTGGATATTTTGGCTTGATGAAATACCAATATCATGCAGTCCTATCTGCAACAGCATGCAGAAATATTTTTTAAAAAYACAGTCCAACCAGCCAAATCTGGTAGGTTCTTAAAACTAGACCATGAATCTTGTCTCTTGTAAGGCCTGTAAATCCTACTTACATGTTCAGTATAGGGCTGGAATTCCTCATGGGTCCATAACAGGCCCTGGATTTGCTGGGCGTCAGGTAGAAGGGAAGGGCACAGTGGCAAAGGACATCCAGAGATGCTGCTGTTCCCAAAGAGAAGTCTGGATTGGGGATGGGGTATTCCTCAAGGCCAAGTGCTTCACCTTTRCCTGTCAGTAGTGCAGCTTTCCAGAGATAATGTAAATCACTTCCTTTTGGATCAGGCAGGTACAGATAAAGTGCCAAAGGCAGCATATTAAGAAAAGGGAGGATTCAAGACCAAAGGCAGACTGCTTAATTTGCCTGTGTCTGCTCATGTTGGGTAGGTGCAACACATACAACTCAATCAATTTGCTCTTATGGTGTACTTCGTGGCTACAGACAGCACCATTTGTCATTGTCATGGGCAACCTACAATTTTCCATGTGATAAGTCTGAATGTCTACTCTTCCAAGACCAGTGAAACAGGCATGGTTGCATTTGCATGTGCTCTTGTGCGTTTGTGTTCATCAGTCCCATGTTTGCTTGCTTGAACAGTGCCACGTGTTCAGGAACTGCCCTGTACATGCCAGTGCTGCATGGGCAAAACCATCCTGTTTGTAGGGATGTTGCTGTGGTGTCAAGGAATAGAAACTGTGCTGCATTTAGGACAACAAGTTACATTCAAATGGGAACTGAATTCTTTAGTGTTTGGCCTAAAGCTGCCTTGAAACTCACTGAATAGTGCTTAATCTTCAAGCAGTTGGACTCTGGCATTTTTGCATGACAATAACAAGCAATCGATGAATAAATCAAGGAGCCTGTATTGATTTAATAAACTGTGATGTATTTTTGACTCTATGTTCCTTCCTTAGTTAATGCGTGTGTTTGCATTGATTTGAGCAGTTTTGATACTTAAATTACTTTAGACAAAGCGTTAGAAAAGTAGGCATTTTTTGGCCGTTGTTCTGAGAATTTTGGTCCTCTTCCCGATTTACCAAGCCATCTGCATTTGCTGTGGGCTGACAGAAGGATGATTTTGCCACTTCTCTGTGGGGTGCTTCATTAGTTCTGGTATGGGGCTGCAACATAAGCAGCTGCCACAGAAGGTCACAGCTTTGCACAGATGCTTGATGCCTGTGTGATTCAGACTTCCATTTGGGGACTCATCTTTAGAAACACTTTGTTGGGAGCAGTTGAAGAGGATGCTTAGCCATGGCATACCCTACATTATTAAAATATGTCTTTCCTGAGAGCTTAGGAGAGRAGTTGTTTGATATTCAAGATGTGACTGTTAGAGAGCTGTATCGCTCCTTRGATCAGTGAGTCCATCTGGCCTTTAAAGGCTGGTCAAGAATTTAAACACTAGCTTCCTTGACAACTCTCAAAGGCATCATAAGTGACTGAAAATCAAAAATTCTCTTTCAAAGACTTTTCCCTTGCACCTTTAGTTGTCTTGGTGTCTCATAGGGTCGAGCTTTACTTATTTGCTTCCTTTTAACCAATCCTGCAAAATATCCCATGATGTTCAGAGGGGACAATACCAAACTCTTCTCAGCTGGATCCCATTGCCTGAACCTAATACAAAGGGAATTTTGTAAAAGACACATGCAYAAGTTACATGAAATTATATGAAAATCCCCGGCCTATATTTACTGTGAAAGGAAATCAGTGAATAGAACATCAATAAATCATTGCTTTTTGTTGGTTTAAGTTGAGCAGTCAATACTGCCTCTATCATGCTTTCTACGCTGCASTGCGAAACAAGGAACCAAATGCACGTGCACCTGGAACTGCATCCATGTGCTTCCTGCAGTGTGTGCCTGCCAGTTCCATGCAGTGTTCCCCCATTCCTCCTATTCCAAATAGCATTTGTTCCTGAATTTTAACAATTGTTCTCTCTCCTGTAGGATGGACGAAACCCACGTCCTATCCCTCTGCCTGGCTACGAAGTCAGTTTACCAGGTTCTGGTGAGAAGTTTGAAGTGAAGCACATTTTTAAGCTTTGCCAGTCCCATCAAACTCTCTATTTCAGTGCGGAAGATGAGGAACTGCAGATGAAATGGATGGAAATTCTCACCAAAGCTGCCAAAGGGGAGACTGAAGATACAGCTGAAGGGCTCAGCAGCCCATAGAGCAAGTTTCATTTAGTTTCTTTCCTACATGCTATAAACCATCACTTGAATTTGATACTCATGGCACTTTGGAATCTGTATGGCTTTATATTTTCATGTGTCTGCATAGGAAATTCAGTGGTTTCTCATCTTTTATTGTACATTTTTCACGTACAGTAGTTACCTGCCATATATTATGTTAAAGGAAAAAGTAGTTATAGTTGTCAGTGGTGTCAATGCTGGATTTAAAACAAAAGACAAGGAGCAAAGCATTAATTTTAACAAAGGTAATGGAAAACCACCAGTCTTTTGTTTTCCTAAATGTGTATTTTCCAGTTATTTTGATTGCTGTTGAGTGCAGGATGTGTATAATCTGTGATTAGTTCTATAAATGCTGCCTTTTAAGTTAAATGTTGTAAAGGCTTGTGCTGGCCACTGACATTCCATTCTCTGCCTCTCCCTCCTGGTAAGGTCTTTGTGACGTGTGAGCAATGTATTGAGTATTTTCCCGTTGCTAAAACTATGTCTCTGCTATTTTGAGATACCTGTTCACAGGACAAATATAGCAGAAGGGACTTCTAAAAATGACTGCAAATGGTGCAGAATAGAACATTAAGAAGCCTCATTGATTTTAAGCATTTATTATATCAATTGTTTTCTTTTGGAACCAATACGTTTCTTCCTTATATTGGAACCCATTTTGATGTAAGTGAACAAACATTTTATACTGCAAACTGGGTTATGATTAATAAACAAGAACATTKTTAGTACACACCATACAAAACGGTGATTTTTTTTTTTGTATTGGTTAATTTAAGTGGCCTAGATTTTATTTATATAATTTGTAAATAATGTTTCATAAGTATTTTAAGAATTTTTAAAAGACTTCAGCTAATTAACAGGATTTAGTGCACAGTATAAAAGATATTTGTATGAACTGAATTTGTAATTTAATTTTCCTGTTCACCTGTTTTTGTCTTATTTTGAAACGTGAATGGTTATCTATTTAAATAAAAACTCCTGCAGTTAACTCCTGAGCCAGATTTCCAAGGCACAGCAAAGATTAGGTCAACATTTAATATAGGTTAAAAAAAAATATAAAAAGTCCAAAACAAACAAAAAAAAGGCATGTCTGTTCCTAGTGGTAGTAAGCATGTAGTATCAATCAAAATGAAATAAAAGTTGTCACAGTACTGTATTTTTAAATGTTTTGGTTTAACTTTTGTTTTCTCTTCAGCGTTCTACATTTTCTGATATTGGTAGAGGTGAAGAAATGCTCCATACAGACAGAGTTTGTTAGGATTGTCGAAAATTATTGATCTGCATCAGTGAGTATTTCTTGGACTTAGAGAGAAGGACTTGTCCTTTTTTGGGGTTTGATTTACTTTTTGCATTGGTGTAATAAATCATATATCTGAAGTCCACAATGATAAAAAAATTAGAAGCCATGTATTTGATTATCTACTGGGAAATTTTCATGAGACTTGCATCTTTTCTCTCCTCCTCWCCCACTCTCTCCCAACAGTCAACACACAAAAGATTTCTTGAAAAGTAGAAAGGAATTCTTTCCAGTGTGTGTTATTTCTTCTCCMAAGCTTCCTTGAAAATATAATGATGTAGAGTGCTTGCCTTGRAAATTTATTCATTTAGTAACATTTCTGGTTTGGAGGTGGGGTTTTGTTTGGGGGTTTTGTTTTATTGGTTTTAGTTTGTTTAGTTTTAAGTTTTTCCTTTTACTCTGCTTGCTTGGTTCTTTTTCTTTGTTATTGAGAGAGATGGGGAGGGAGAATGATTAACCAAAACAAACCTAACACATGTTAATCCATCTTTCATTTTCTATTTTTGTTAATTGACAAAAAAATCCTTTGGCACACTTTTTTCCCCAATTTTTTAAATTTATTTTGCTACTTTTTTATAACTAAGCATGTCAAAATACACATCTGACTAATTTTAAAACAGTTACAGAAAATATCTGTAGTTTTCCTGCAGTGTTGACCTCTGGTGACATTTGTGTCAAGGTTCTCATGCAACAGTTTTGTTCCTGGAACCTCTTTCCACTTTCAGGGGACACAACAAGGAACTGCCAGGGGGAATCTCTGCTTTATCACTAAGCCCCTAATTATCAAGAGCTTTTATAGTTTAAAGCCAGCACTTTAAAACCTATCTGCAAAAGTCCATCTTGTAAGAATACAGRGAACAATCACTTCAGACTTCCTCAGACCCTGTTTAGTTCATGTATCCTGRCACATCAACAAAGTAAGCTTTTTTGGTCTATTTGTTTGATTTTTAACCTCTCAAACCTAAAAGAAAGTCTGAGATGACGGCAGCCTAGTTCACATGATGATAAACAGCCATGCCAAAGTTGCAGTGAGCTAAGTCAAGGTGGGGTCCCTGAGCTTTAAGAATCTGCCTTCTCCCTGTCTCATTTTATAGCTGTACACTCAAATCTAAATCCTGGCTGGCAAAGGCAGGGGCTTGGGGACCRCTCTGGGGGAGCATCAGTGTTTCCTATCAAGCAATGCTCTTCCCTAGGGTTTGATTACTGTCAGTCGGGGTGCTGCTCACAGGAAGCAGTGATCAGCCTCATTCGAACATTCTGTTGATGGAATTGAAATGTTTGTTTAAATGATCCATTGAATGAAGAGTTGTAACCRTGAAACTCATGATATTGGTCAGTGGGATGAGGGAAGTGATGGGGAGTATTTCGTAGCTGAGTAGCTCAGAGGAGGACAATAAAAATCTCAGGATTTTTTTAATGGTTTAGGAAAGAAGAAGGAAAYCCTTATCCTGGAGAATCACTGGATCTCCAGAATTTTGTCTACTAATGGAAAAGAACCTATGTCGAATAATAAAGCTTCAAGTGTTACTTTATTCTSAAACAATTATTTTATATTGTTTTCGAACCAGCTCTGAAATTAGTAGAGTATCTTTATTCATTTATTTTCTTGTTCGAAAAAGGAGAATAAGGACATCAGTTTAACAGGCAGTTGTCAAGGCACAAAGTGAGCTCCTAGCCATGAAGAGATAAATACTACATTTTAATAGCTCTTATTCATATGGAAGGCAGCAATACTTTCTTTCCATTCTTTGGGATAAGGTAACAAATAATTAAGAGTTTTCTTGCCTATTTTACATCCTAGCAAGTTTCCTAGAACCAGCTGCCCAGCAATACTGAAACTGTAGATAAAGTGGTTGATGTCTCCAACAGCTGCTTTCCTTCCCTTGTGTCCTTTCACCAGCACAATGGAACATTCACTGTTCAATACAAATTACTCTATCCCAAAAACAAGCAACTTCCCTTTTTACTTACCTACAATTTCTCTTTCTATGTTCTTCATTGTGGGGTATGGARAGGAACTTCTGTCTGAGTTTTCACTTAGCTGGGCACTCTGTGAGAATCTTGGTGGATGTGGGAGTTTTCATGCTACTAAAAAATGAAATCATGCTAAAACAAGCTTTTTGGGGAGCAGTTGCTGGCTGTGCTTGCAGATTCTGTGTGAGCTGTAGTCACAGCAGATTAGGCTAAAGGAAAAATTCTCTTGACTGTCTCTGAAATAGAGCTTTAGGAAGCTGTAACTTGCCACTATGGATGACTTGCTCAAATGCTGCAAAACAAACTTGACCACCTTAGAATTGCTACATTTGAATATCAACACTGTACAAGAGTSTTACTGAGATAAATCTTATCAAAGTTGTTCTACATTCAGACACCAAATACTCACAGGAATAAATTAGATTAATTTCACCAGTGCATTTGAATGAACCTAGGAAAAATCTGGTTTTGCAGCAGCATGTGCTTGCAGTGTGCATGGATCAATGGTGAGTCATGTTCAGCTTGAGAAGGAAACAAATGGAAATCCCAGTAATTTACAGGGACTCTGTTGTTCTTGTGTCTAGATCACACATGCTGTGTTGGAAAACTCTTAATTCCCAAGTCCCCAAATTTGCCACATGGACCTGTTATTCTTGCAAATATTGAGTAACTTCCCAATATTTCTGGAAGATGCTCTGCAGATGTGGGAGTTTCTTAGTTCCCTGGCTGGATCAAAGAGGTTACATCTCCTCTGCAGTAAGATATTTAAGTCTGAAAAGGAAGAGTCATTTATCCCAGCATCTCACAGTGGGCAAGAATCTGTCAAGACTTTTACCCTGTTACAAGAATTAGCCATTTGCTCTGTAAGTTTTTGTGCCATAGGGGTCTGTAACTTGCAAAAAGAAGGTAAACTGGAAAATACAGTGTTATCCCACTTGTAGTACTGGAAAAGATTCTTTCAGATTCCAAGCTAAAAGTGGAAATGTTTGGTATGAAACTGGTAGGAGCTGACTTCTGAGCTGGGTAAGAATAGCTAAACACATGTCTTGGCCTTGTGCATGTGTTATTGATTTSAGTCTCCACCTAGGGAAGCACATTTTTGACTTGATAAAAGGCCCAGTATTAGCTCTGATTATACTGAAGCTGTGGAGGGATTTCTGGAAGTTTTAACTTTCAACACTTTGAAATGTGGTGTCAAGTTAGAGAAGTCTGTGTGCTTTGGGCAAATGTGGAAGCATTGGGATGTTTCCACAGGCAGCCATGGATAGGAATTTGTCTCAGGAACTCCAGTGCCATTGTGCTGTCCAAAGGATGGGCAGTACACTTATTTTTTTCACAAGGAAAATTGTACATTGGGTTTTCAGAAGTCTTTTTTTCATTACAATAAATTCTATTGAAACCACATAGCAAATAAAGGGAGCAACTCAGCAACAGAATCAAAATAAGAATGCCTTTGTACTGCAAACAATTTGAAATGGACATAAACTCATTGTGTGTGTGTACAGCTCCAGAGCGAGGTAGGACTTCAGGGGTGATGGTTCAACAGCTGGGGAAAGGGGATCAATAACAGGCTAGTTTTGTAGTAAAATTTGATATTATAGAAGATAGAAAATCTGAAGCCTACTGCTTAGGCTGTGTCAGAGACATTGCTAAAATAATGACCATTCCTGTGCTCATTCATTTCACCTGGGCAGAGCTAGACCTATTTCCTGAACCTGAGTGCCCAGAGAAGAGGGTATAGACCATGTGCTCATCAGTTTCATGAGGAAACTCCTTTAGAAAGTCAAACTCCAAGTCTTTCCTTGTTAACTAGTTCCATATAGCATCGAATTCTTGGAACTGGGTGGCAAAAGATCTCCTTGAAGTCAATAACAGGGTGAGATTGGATTGATTTAATCAGCCATTACGAGCATGTCTGCCTGAGTTTGTCAGTGGTGTGTGACATGGGGCTGTGTCCACTTGTGCTGCTGTGTATCAGTAGGAGGGGTACTTSCCATACTGTTCATAAAAGCAAAGCTTACAGGTAAGTGGATTGCAAAAGAGACCTAGGACATAGCTGTAATCATCTCACAGTCATTGCACAGAATGACACACTGGAGAATAAGAAGAGTAACAGCCTCAGTTGTGTGGATCTGAATCCTTGCAGCAGCTCATCCTATGCACTGAATGRCATTGCAAGACCTGCAGAGAAGGAGATAAAATTAAACCTACAGGCAAGAGACATTCTGAACATGACCTAGTTCTGAGTCTAGTTTTGCACTGCAATGTTTCTCAAGTAATTTCAGGAGACTGGGAAAGTGCTGAATCATTTCTGCTTAACAAAATATTGTTGTAAGCCCATTTTGGTTATCCAAAGAATTGCAACAGCAAAGATTTCTGCTATAAGCTAATAAATAAAATGGTTACAGGATGTTATCAAATAAATTACCTTTAGGAATTGGATACAGGTGAGCCCTACCAATGGTTTTGCTCAATTAATGGTCATGTACTTGTGTGTGACTGGAGCTGAGGAGTGATCAGGCCGGGTACCACACAGCCTATGAAGGAATTCCCAAATTCATACTGGTTGGTCCTTTTAAATAAACTGGTTGGTCCTTCTTTAAATAAAGAAGGGAAGAGCCCTTACAAAGCTCTTGTGTCCACAGATATGGCTGAAGGCAGTCAGATGAGCGAATGTGCTAGAGCCTGTGATAACAGGTGGCCAGAGCTCCCAGAGACATATTTGAGCATTACATTAGGGAATGTACTGCAATGTAAGGAACCACAACAGGGTGTGATCACCCATGAAGATTATTGGCTCYTGCCAGAGCGAGTACAGAGGAGACCACAGAGATGCTCTGGGGGATGGAGCCSCTCTGCTCTGGAGCCAGACTGGGAGAGCTGGGGRTGCTCAGCTTGGAGAAGGGAACAATCCAGGGGGACCTCAGAGCCCCTTCCAGTGCCTAAAGGGGCTCCAAGAGAGCTGGAGAGGGAYTGGGGACAGGGGGTGAAGGGACAGGACAAGGGGGAATGGCTTTCCATAGCCAAAGGCAGGGATAGATGGAATATTAGGAATAAATTCTTGTCTGTGARRGTGGTGAGGCCCTGGCACAGGTTTCCTAGAGAAGTGTGGTTCCCTGGAAATGAATCTGTTAGGAACAAGGTATCTGTCCACTTCATATAAGGAAGGATCTCTCAGTCTCAGGTAAGCGACCTCAAACCTAGAGAAGCGTCCCAGCTCAAGGGGAGGTCACCACCATTCAGCCGTGCTACTAGGCAGGAAGAGCTCAAGAAGGCTCACTCAGGCTGATATATTTATGGGACAAAGTAGTTGGGTCCTAGCATGGAACTCCATATGCCTACATGACAGCTCTCTTGATAAATGACAGTTCCTTGATAAATGAGCCCTGGAAAAACCACCTGCTATCGAGATGTTAAATACTCAATGTTTCTCAATGCATTGATGCTCAGGGAGTCGCTGCTACGACTTGGGCTTTTTCCTCCTTTGTAACCTGCACTAAACTTGCCGGTTCAGTTAAGG